GCCCCGGCTGCGGGCGGCTCTCGTGGGCACATGGGGCCAAGTTCTGTGTCCCCCAGGCTAGTGACCTCTCTTTGGCTTTGCAGCATTTAAAAGTCTGAAAGACAAAGTATGGCCCAGGAAGGCAGGCAGCAGCGGTAAGCACCGGCCCCCGCGCGCAGGTGGGACACCTCGGGGCCTGTCCTGGCCCCTCTTCACCTGCCTGGCCGCCCACCGGGTCCCAGCGGAGGAAGGCAGCCTCCCACCCGTCTCTGCTGTCCCCGGGGTGCAGCCAATCGAGGGGCGTGCGCCGCGGCGGAAGGCTCCAGGAAGGCCGCAGTGCGGCGGGAGGGGAGGGGCGGCGGGTCTGGTGCTCCCGCGGAGGCTCAGCGGGACCGAACTCCTCCGGGCCTCCTCGGCTCTCACTGCCCTGGCGAAGCCGGCACCACAGGGGCCGCTTTACTCCCTCGCCTCACTCTCCTGACTCCAGCCACTTCCTGGCCTTTGCTGCCGGGTTTTTTTGGGGGGGGGGTTGCTGTGGAGGATGACCCTAGGGCCTTCAGGCTGAGCTACATCCCTGCTGTTTTTTTCTTTTCTTTCCACCCTTCCTTACTTGGTTCCTCTCACTCTTCTTTTTTCTTTCTTTCTTTCTTTCTTTCTTTCTTTCTTTCTTTCTTTCTTTGCTTCTTTCTTTGTTTCTTTGTTTCTTTGTTTCTTTCTTCCTTTCTTTCCTCTCTATCCTGGTACTAGGAATTGAAGTTAGTGCCTTTGCACTGGGTCACATCCCCAGGCCCTCCCCCCCCTTTTTTTTATCTTTTTGAGACAGGGTCTCGCTAAGCAGTTCAGGCTGGCCTTGAGCTCACTTTGTAGCTCAGGCTGGTCTCAAACTTGCAACGATCCTCCTGCCTCAGCCTCCTGAGTGCTGGGATTACAGGTGTGCGCACCACGCCCAGCTCGACTTCCTTTGCTTTCTGTGGACGAGCACAGTCTTCTGTGACTGTGCCTCCTGCCTGCAGCGCTCCCCCAAGTCCCGCGTGTCCTCTGTGTGCTTTGCGATCCCCCTTTCTCCGCGAGGCTGACCCCGACTGTCCCACTTGCATCAGTCCCCCAGCACGCCAGGCCCAGGCCCAGGCCCTACTTTTTCCCACAGCACCTCTGGCACACACAGGTGCCTGTGACTACCCTCATCGCGGCCGGCTCTGCGTGTGCCGGGCGCTCGCCTGCCGCACTCTCGCGGGGACAGAGCGAACGGCTCCCACCTGTACTGGTTGCTGCCTTCAGCCCAGTCTCCGTCCTGGGCTTCCAAACCCCTCCTGTGTCCTAGAGACAACCCAGGCCCCGGGGGAACACCGCCTCCTCCAGCCCCAGCTGTCCAGGCACCAGGAGGTGACATGGGGAGGCTGCTGGGTTACCCATTAACTCAGCCTGAGGAAGGGCCATGGGCGGCAGGTGGACTTGAGTCTCTCTTCTGTCCATGGGCTTGGGCTGCTGCTTCAGGTCCACCCGAAGCTCCAGGATGGGCTCCTGGCCCGTGTCAGGGAGGGTACAAGCGACGCTGCAGAAGCAGGTGGTGCGAGAATTCCTGGCTGAGTTCGTGAGCACATACGTCATGATGGTGAGTGGGTACGGGGCATGGGGTGGGTGAGGTGCGCACCTGAACCCGTCCCCACTGCTGACTCCAGGGATCATGTTGTCGCTCTGCCTCCAAGCCGGCAGCCTCAGAAGTAAGCAGAGGAACGTAAGGAGAGAAGCCTTTCTCACTATCTTTTTTGCAGGGAGCACTGGAGTTGAACCCAGGATCTTTGCACGGAGTTACATTCCCAGCCACCTTTGTATTTTTTATTTTGAGACAGGGTCTTGCTAAGTCATTCAGCCTGGGCTCCTACTTGCAATCCTCCTGCCTCGGCCTCCCAGGGATGTGTGCCACCACACCCAACATCTCACCAAGTCCTTTTGTAACAAAGCCTGGTGTATTTTGCTGCCCCTCCCACCTTCCGCAGAACTTGTGCTCATAGAAAGGTTTCAGTATGTGCCAGGATAAATGGGAGCCGTAGGATCAAGGGTCAGAAGTCATGGCTGGAAGCCTTGAGAAGGAAAACGGAGGGGAAAGTGGTTGATGGAAATCTTGAACGTCAGTCTTGAGAGTTAATCCTGAAGGAGAGACCCTGAAGGTCATCACTCGGGGAGTGATGTGGTCAGGTTTGCATTTTAGAAGTCTGCGGAGGCTGAGTGGGGCAGGCAAGGCTGGTGGGGGGCAGTTCAGAGGCTGTCGTGGAAATGAAGGCTAGACCTGGTGGGGGTGGGGAAGACGGCACATGTTGGAAGAGCTGTACAAGACGGACTCACGAGAGGGCAGGTGTGGAAAGTGGGGCAAGTCCTGATGGGTTATCCTGATGCAGGGCCAAAGGTGACATTCGTTTGGATGTGCCCACCTGAAAAGCCAGGGGGGAAATTCAGGACACAAATACAGGGCCCTGGAGTTCAACAGAGGGGTGGTGGCACTCGGGAGGCTGAGGCAGGGGGATTACCCTGAGTTTGAGGCCAGCCTGGGCTACACAGTGAGTTCAAGTCCAGCCTGAGCTATGTAATGAGACCCTGTCCCAAGAAACAAAACAAATGAGAAAGAGAGAGAGATTGCGTTGGAAGGAGAGTGGTGAAGTTCATTATCATCAGAGTACGGGTGGCAGTTAAAAAGTCTGTGCAGAGAGAATGACTGAGTGTCAGAGGGGCTCTGGACACCTGGCTTCTTACCTTGACCCTGACCCAAGTCAGCAGCGGGCCGTGGGCAGGGCTCTCCCTGGCTCGCAAGCCTGCCTTCTCAGCCCCTAAGTATCCAGAAGACAGTGCTCATGTTATCTTTGAGCTGTGTGATCTTCCACAAGCCTCGTCACTGTCCAGAGCACAGCTCCCTTGCTGGTAAACTGAACCTAACGCTGAGCTGGTAGAGCAGCGTGAAAAAGGCCCGGCGCCGGCGTCCAGCACGCGTGTAGCACACGTGTGGGCCCCTTGTTACTATGATGTCTGTTCTCAGCTGCTTTCTCCTCCCACATCCCTCCTCCTTCCCTTCACCCCTTACTTGCTTTCGCTGCTGAGCTGTAAGAAGGACAGCGAGGCTCTGTCCCTCCTTAATCCAGAGCAAAGTAATTCACCTATGACAAGACATTCCATTCTCATGAGGGCTGTTAAACCTTGGAACCCTGGAGGCAGGCGGGTGCCTCTCTGGAGAGCTCTCAAGGAGAGCAGGGATTGGTACCCTGACTTGAGACCTGCCCACAGCTGCCTTCCTTTTTTTATTTGGAGAATTACTGAGCACATACTGCATCGCAAGCACTGTGATACTAAGCACTTAAGTGCCAAATCATTACACGGGCCCTAGAAAGCTGGGTGTGGAGGCTGAGGCAGGAGGATTGCCATGAGTTTGAGACCAGCCTGGGCTACACAGTATGACTTTGTCTTAAAAAAACCACCAAACCAAACCAAACCAAACCAAACAAACCAACAAACAAACAACAAAAACAAAAAATCCCCTACAGTAAAAAACCCACAGCGGCCCTGAAGGTAGGGCTGTTGTTATCCTCATTTTACAGATGGGGAAACTAAGGCGCACGATACTAAGCCACTTGTCTAAGGTCACACTTCGTGAGGCTGAAACCCAGGCCTGTTTGCTATCACATGTTGCCCTTTAGTCACTTTCCTCTGTCCCTTCGCTTAGCGGTATCAGGTCTTTTTGTTGCTGTTGTTTTGGGGGCTTTTGATTCTCTCTTCCATGGTGCTGGGCGTCAAACCCAGGTCCCTGAGCATGCTAGGCAGGTGCTCTACCCCTGAGCTGCACCTGTGGCCACAGAGCTCCAGGCTTCCTAAGGTGGTGGCCTGTGAACCCTCGGAACGCTGCGGAAAGGTCTTTGCTTTCAGGCGTTGAGTGGTTCCAGACCCCTCCCTGGGCCGCAGCTTCCCCATCTGTGACAGCAAAGACATCTGCTACACAGATTTTCTGTGAGGACTGAAGGGCAACAATGCTTGTGAGGAACTTGGTGATGCTTAGGGTCATGTAGGACATTGTGTTGTTGTTATTTTTAGTTGCCAGGCCTGGGCCAAGAAGTGGAGGCTTTTTTAATTCATAGGAAGTTCAGTGACTCACCAGGGTAAAGGTTTTGTTGCCCAAAAAGGCTAGCGTGACCTTGGGCCCCATTTATTGCAGCCAAGATGAGGGACAAGATTGTTCTACTCTGCCTCTCCAGGTTGTTCTCGAGCTGGCTTCCCGGCTGTCGGCTGCATTCACGGGCCAGGGAGGGCGGGGCTGGAGCCTTCAGGCCCTGGAACCCGTGCGCAGGGCCCTGCGGAGTCGGCTTGTGGAGGCGCACACTTTGGCCACGGGGGAAGGGTTCCCAGGGCGCATGCTACCGCGGCAGCGCAGGGCGGAGACTGGCCAGCTCGTCACAGATCCGTGTGAGGGTGCAGGGCGCTCTCCAGCTGGCCCTTGCCGTGGAGGGAGGAATGCAGGCCGGGCTGCCCAAGCTTCTCCTTCATTCAGGGGAGCTGAATCTCCTCCTCATCAGAGCCGCGGCACCCAAACAGAGCCTGCGTTCCCGCAGACTAGGTGTAGGCGTGCCAGCTCACAGCCCTGACCCAGAAGATCACGTAGTTCATCTACGCGGTCATTTCTGCAGCAGATGGGTTAGAGTGGGGAAGCGGGAATGGAATGGGGACGCTGCTACTCCGGCTCCCCCGCCTGTCAGCGGCCTGGCCTGGGCCCCCACGGCTCCCCGACGGGTCCTGTCTTCCCTGCTGCGTCTTCTCCTGACCCTAAGCCAGCCCGTCCCTGGGCTGTCTGGCTCCTGCTCAGCTGCCTGTTCTCCGCCTCCCCTGAGCCAGCTCGCCTTTCTCAGAATTCTCCCAAGAGGCTGTGTTCTCTGCCCATCATTTTTTAAATCAGGAAATGTCAGCGAAACCATCAGGCGTGCTTCCTGCGTCGCCCCCCCCTCCTGCCACCCCACCGCCTGCTGGCACCTGAGCACCCGTACCTCTCCTCGGCTGGGCCGTGTCTCCCGCTTCCTGGATGGCCGCCCCTGCAGTCCATTCAGACATGTTGCTGTGTCATTTTCTCACTCCTTTATCTTCAGTCTATGGGTCTCACAGCTTACAAATCTGCTAAGGTCTCTCCGTTTAAACCAGCATAACAAACAGCACAGTGGCACACACCCGTGTGCCAGGCTACTTGGAGAGACCGAGGCAGGAGGATTGCAAGTTTGTGGTCAGCCTCAGAACTTTTGTTTGTTTACAGTGCTGGGGAATGCAGGGCCTTCACACTGAGCTCTATCCCGAGGCCGCCTTATTTCTGGAGACAGACTGAAGCAAACTGTCTCCCTCCTAGCCCGCCTCCCAGAGTACAGGGATCACAAGTGTGCAGCACCGTGCCCAGCTTGCCTGGGAAACTTAGTGAGACCCTATCTCAGAATAAAAGCAAAAGGGGCGGGGGATGTAGCTCCGTGTGAGCTGTGCTCAATTCCCAGTATCAAAAAGCAAAGCAGAGTGAAACAAAGCAAAGCAACACGGCCCGGAATGTCCTTCCCTTCACCCTGCGAGCCCCTCACTCACCACGTTGCTCTGTCCCGGGCCTTCCCGGCAAGTTCTCAAAGAGGTAACAGTTCTGGCATCTTTCCACCTTCTCATCAGCCACGGGTGTACGAACATTTGCCCGGTATGATCGAGGACCTGGGTTCGATCCCCAGGACCACTAAAAAAACTGAACGAAATAAGCAAATGTACATGCGGCCGGGCGAGACGGGGCTCCTCACGTCGCTGTGACCGCTGGGCTGTCAGGTCGGAAGGGAGCTTTCCAGGCCTTCGTGCGCTTGCCGCGTTGCCGAACATGACCGCGGTGTTGGCCGCTGTTCCCCCCGGGCCTTCGCGGCACCTTCTCTCCTCTCCCGCGTCAGCACCCGCTCACACCCGCCCGAGGGTGCTGCGTGCTGACCGTGCGCCCCTGGGCTTTCGCCCACCAGGGCCTTCCACAGTTCTGTAGGTTTCCTCTCCTAGACCCTAGAGCAGAGCTGCCCGAGGAAACTACACGTGAGCCGCGAATGTAACTGACAGTGTTCCGGTTGCCGCGTCCACAAAGCGCAATGCACCAGGTGAAAGTAATTTGAGTCGTTGTGTATTTAGCCCATGTCTGCACTATCACTTCTTCAGCTGTGTTGGCAGTACTGGGAATGGGTGCAGAGAGCGCTGGGTTCATCCCCAGTCCTTTTGCTTTTTTATTTTGAGACAGGGTCTCACTAAACTGTCTACACCGGCCTCGATCTTGTAGCCCTCCTATCTCACTCTGCAGAGTAGCTGGGATTACAGGTGTGTGCTGCCATGCCCAGCCCAAAGTATCGTTTCAACATGTAATTAACATACATATAAATTATTATTATTATTATTATTATTTGGTACCAGGAATCTAACTCAGGACCTTGCACTTGCCAGGCAGGCACTTATGCCACTGAGCTATATCCCCGGCCCTTATAAACTATTATTAATATTTGAGGTACTAGAGACTGAAAGTAAGCCCTCCATACCGAGCTACATTTCCAGACTTTTTATTTATTATTCTGAGACAGGGTATTACTAAGTTACTAAATTGCCCAGGGTAGGCTTGAACTTGAGACCCTCCTGCATCAGCTTCCCAGGGTGCTGGGATTATAGGCATATGCCACTGTGCCTGGTAGACAAACCACATTTCAAGCACAAAATAATCATATGCAATCAGTGGCTGATTTCCAGCAGCCTGAACCCATAAAGTTCCTTCAGAATCTACATGTTTGATGGACATGGTGGCACTCACCTGTAATCCCAACACTAGGTAGGCTGAGGCAGGAGGATCACTGTCTTAGTTACTTTTCTCTCATTGCTGAGACAAAATACCCAGCACCCAAAGTTAAGGAAGGAAAGGTTTATTTAGCTCACAGTTTGTGGAGGCTTCAGTCCATAATCAGCTGGCTCCAAGGCAGGGTGGCGTGGCAGAGGAACAGCAGTTCATGGCGCACAGCAAAAGCAACAAAATCAAAAAGGGAGGAGCTCGAGAGCAAGCCTCTTTCCCTCCCTTATATTGTCTGCAGGCTGCCCGCCCCATGGCGGTGTGGCACTCACACCCATAATCCCAGCACTGGACCAGGAGTTAGTCACAAGCTCTAGAAGCCCGCCCCACGACTGCATGAGGCTTTGTGGGGACATCCAGGCACAAACCATGACAATCACTGTGAGACTGAGGCCAGTGTGGGCTACACAGTGAGTTTAAGGCCAGCCTTGAACTATATAGCAAGACCTTGTCTCAAAAAAACAAAACTATATGTCCAAACTGTGTGTTGTGGTACATGCCTGTAATTGTAGCACTCTGGAAGGCTGAGGCAGGAGGATAGAAAATTTGAGCTCAGCCTGGGAAATTTAGTGACTTTCAGGACCCTGTCACAAAAACAGTTGTTCTTTTTTTTTTTTTTACTGGGAATTGAACTCAGGACCTTGCACTTGTGCTGTATCTCCAGCCCTAGAAAAACAAAATATAAAGCAAGGGCTGGGGATGCAGCTCAGCGTGAAGGCGCCAGGCTCGCTCCCTAGTGCCGCAACAAAACAAAAATAAAACCACATGTCCCAAAGATGTAGATATTTCCCAAGAGGTGCCACCTCGGCTGGCCTTGGGAGAATCAGATCTTCGGGGTACAGGGTTGGGATTGCAGCAGAGGGAACGGCATGCACAGCACGAGAAAGCAAAGCACAGCATGAGGCGAGGGCTCCTTTGGTCCGAGGCCCTCTGGCAGGACAGCTGCCTGGACTCAGTCCTGGCTCGTCTTGTTACAGGCTGGGTGACCTTGGATAAGCCAGTCAAACTTTCTAAGCTTCAGGTTGCCCATTTTCCAGGTGGGGAGAATAATCTAGTACTTCCTTCTGAAGTACTGTGTGAAACATCCCTCAGGCTGGCCTGGAGAGAGAGCCGCTGGAGGGCAGCCCACACCAGCCGTCCTGAATCCCGGGCCCTGCTCCCAAAGCTCAGCTGGGCTGGGCAGGGGCCGAGGTGCGGGACAGATGGCGCGGGCCTCTGGCTCTGCGCCGCACCTCCGGCTGTTTTTGCACTCACCGCCCGGCTCTCGCGGGTCTGAGAGGAGGTGAGGAGAGGTCACGAGAGAGGAGTTCTGGAGGAAGAAGGAGCGGCAGAGGGTCTCTGAGGCGAAGCTGGGTAGGCCCGGGGCCTGGGCGCGGTGCAGAGCCAGGACCAGGCTCCGAGCCGTGCCCTGAGGTTGGGGCTTCTGGGAAGGCGCCCTCTCAGGAGCCCTCCTTCGCAGGTGTTTGGCCTTGGCTCCGTGGCCCACTTGGTTCTGGGAAATAACAGATATGGGAGCTACCTTGGTGTCAACCTGGGCTTTGGCTTCGGCGTCACCATGGGCGTGCACGTGGCGGGCGGCGTCTCAGGTGCGTGAAGCCCGGTCCCGGCTGGGCGGGGCTGGGTGTTTGCGGCGCGCGTCTCCCGTGCACCTGCCGGCAGCCCCTCTCGAGACCCAGCCTTCTAGTCCCGGGAGGGAGCACAAGGCCTCCGAACCCGGTGCCCCGCCCGTGCCTCCCCAGGCTCGCTGTGCACCCCGACTCACCGTCGGGACTGGCCAGGCCAGCGATGGCGAACCTTTGAGCGCTGCCGATGCCCCGAGCAGCCCGCTGGGGCTGCGTGCCGTAGGTCCGCCACAGCTGAGCGGGGTCTTAGGCAGGTTATTTCCCTGCCTGCTCCTCACTTTCCTAGGGGTGGAGTGGAGATGGGGCCGGTGGTAGGGCTCGTCACGGCCATCATCGTCCTCGATTATGGTTGCTGGCGGTATCGCTGCCTTGTGGCTCCGGCCCTCGCCAGCCTGACGCACCTCTCCCGGCCCGCAGGCGCCCACATGAACGCAGCCGTGACCTTCGCCAGCTGCGCCCTCGGCCGCATGCCCTGGAAGAAGTTCCCGGTGTACGTGCTGGGTCAGTTCCTGGGCTCCTTTGCGGCTGCCGCCACCACCTACGGCCTCTTCTACAGTGAGTGCCCCGCCCTGGCTGGCGGCCTCTGGCTTCGGCCTTCCCTGGACTGTGGGCAGAGGACGGTGGGCGGAGAAGAAAGCCTTGGGGCTCCCCCCGCCACCCGACAGCCCCACGCCTGGGGTCAACCGGGGCGCTAAGCCCGGTCTGTGTCCACAGTGGCCATTCTGCACTTCTCGGGCGGACACCTGAATGTCACGGGCCCCACAGCCACCGCCGGCATTTTTGCCACCTACCTTCCTGACTACATGACGCTGTGGTGCGGCTTCCTGAATGAGGTCAGTGCCCTTCTGCCCGGCCCGCCCCTCCTCCGTGGTAGGACAGGATTCTGGAGGGGGCCCCCACGGAGACACGCTCCAGCCCGCGTGTGGGGCCTTGGGGCACGGCTGGGGCGCTGTGGCTTGCTCAGGACCCGGAGGGCTGCTACAGTGTCCGCTCCGCAGGTGTTTCTGACGGGGATGCTCCAGCTGTGTCTCTTTGCCATCACGGACAAGGAGAACAGCCCAGCGCTGCAAGGGACGCAGGCCCTGGTGATCGGCGTCCTCGTGGTCATCATTGGGGTGTCTCTAGGCATGAACACAGGATACGCTATCAACCCGTCCCGGGACCTGCCGCCTCGCTTCTTCACCTTCATTGCCGGCTGGGGCAAAGAGGTGTTCAGGTAGCGCCTGCCAGGCCCCTTTCTGCAGTCTTCTGTGGGTGCCCTGTGCTCAGAGGGGTGAGGGGCTGTCAGGAGCAGCCAGGACAGTCCCGCTCCCCGGTGTCTCCTGAGACCAGCGCAGGTGCTGGTTTTGCTCCACGACTAACTGTCGACCCCCCTCCCTGAACAGGGCTGAGGGTGGCTGGGGCCCCAGGGAGGGCCGGGCGGGGCGGCCCCTCTGCTCCCCCGGCCTTGGTCTGAAGAGGGCGCCAGCACCTCCTCCTCCTCCTCAGGTCTCTCTCGCTTGTTTCGCAGGAATAACTGGTGGTGGGTGCCGGTTGTGGCTCCACCCCTGGGGGCCTACCTCGGGGGCGTCGTCTACCTGGCCTTCATTAGCGCCCCACGAGGCCCGCAGAGACTGGAGAGCTCCGCGGGGCGTGAGGACCCCGGGAGGACCATGCTGCCCAAGGCCAACCCGTACACGCCCGCTCCCCTCGCTCCTGTCCCTGCAGCCCCTGCCAGCCTTGCCGTCCCCACGCTGACCCAGCCTGCGCCAGCCTTTGGTGGCTCCATGCCCCTAGAGCGCTTCTAAGTAGAGCTGGTGAGCCCACCCTACCCAGTGGGCAGGCCTGCTCCACAGCGGTGCTCGCTGGGGCTCCCGCGGCTGGACTCCCCTCCTGCTTCTTCTGCCTTAGCTCTGGGCTGGAGCGGGGTCGAGAGCCCTCAAGTCTTCCCACCCCTGGGACGGGCGGCTGGGTGAGCGACCGTGGTCTGAGGGCAAGACGAAAGGGTGCTGGACGCAGGGGTGGGCTTCCAGGCAGAGGGCCGGGAGGGGTGGTGCGGGAGGGAGCAGAGCTGGGAGGTAGGGGCCAGCTCTGCGGGTGCCTTGGGGCTGCCCTGGGGTAGGACTTTGGATGGTCCCGGGCTCTCCCTTTCTCCGGTCCTGGCCGGTTCTTATTCTACAAGGCCCAAGGGTAGATCACAATTTCTCAAACTTTCTTTTTTGATTAGTGCTCTCCTTAGCAGCCTTTTAGATATATTTTTTCTTACTTCACATTTTAATACCATAGGTATACCGCATGTGTTTCTGTGCTTTGTATATACAAATAATTGTATATAAAAATTAAGATTTTTCATCCTTGTTCCAAGGATGTTTTACTTGGGGACACCCAAGTAGAGGGCAGGGTGTTGGGCTCCTCCTCCTTCCGGCCGCGGAGGAGTGCCAGAGTTGAGAAGGAGGAAACAACCGGAAAAACCCTTCAGACAGATGCAGAGAGAAGGAAGAGCCTCACCGCGGAGCTCAAGGGAAACAGGCCAGACGTTGGGTGCACAGGGACCCAGGACCCACTGGTGGTGGGGCCAAGCAGGGGCCACCCACTGTCTCGACCCAGACAGTGGCATCACATGGTTCCGTTGTCACTGCTAGAACCAGCGGTTCCGCACTGCGGAGCAGCCCCGCCCGGCAGCCCGGTGCCTATCGGCTGAGGCTGGGCCTCCGTCTCACCTTCCAGGACTGCAGCCTCCTGGGGGCCAGGCGACTGGGGGAAGGAGCCAGGGTGGGAGGGCGGACATGTGGGGCTGTGGGGCTTGGAGGGGGTGCAGCCCGCCTCTGGCCGAGGTTAGGAACAGCTTTCCCAGGAGACAGGTGGCGTGGGGCGAGGGAGTCCTTCCCAGGGCTCAGAGCCACCCTTTTCCGTTTGCGAGGACAGGGGCAGAGGAAGCGCCTTTAAGCTGCTCTCTCATTGCCAGGACAAAACCAGCTGCCCACCACTTAACAGCGGGGAGGGTTGGGCTCCATGGTGGCCCCAAGGCGAAGCGGCACGGTCGGAGGGTCTGGGTGCAGGAAGGCTGTGCCCTCCGGGGCCGGGAGGGAGACGCGCCCTTCAGGTGAGCCCTCAGGGACCTGCCGCGTTCAGCCGGGAATCTGCTCACAGGCTACAGCAGCCCCAGGATCCAGTCACGTTCTGAAACCCCACTTCTGAACACCCAAGGCTTTGGGGGGGGCTCCCTTTTGGAGGTGGAAAACATACTAAGATGATGTAGAAAGCCCCTTGTGCTGCATCGTGCAAACCAGGAAATGAGGGACACGAGCCTAAAGAAAATGTGATGTGCCAGGCGTGGTGGTGCACTCCTGTGATCCCGGCACTCAAGAGGCTGAGGCAGGAGGAGTTCCATGAGTTCAAGGCCAGCCTGGGCTACAAAGAGTTCAAGCCCAGCCTGAACTGCGAGGCCCTGTCTCCAGAAAAAATGAAAAAAAAAAAAAAAAGTGACCAGAGGCAATAATCCAGGAGCAGCAGCAGGGGCCCGTGGGCGTGGAGAGGAGACACAGCTGGCAGGACTCGGGCTTGGTCCGGATGAGGAGCAGAGATGACGCCATTTCTGGCGTGGAGGTGGGCAGAACAGCAGTGTGGGTTGCTGGAGAGGACGAGGTCCGCTGGGTCACAGACGCGTGGGGTTCAAGTCCTCCCTGGGGAGAAGGTGGGCTTCGCATGTGACTCAGGTTTGTGGGGAGGGGTGAGCACCACCGGCTGCTCGCCCTGCGGTGACGGTGACAGGGCCAGGTGCCTGCAGAGTAAGTACCGGGTGAGCACTCGCAGGTAAACCTTTGGTGTGTCCGGAGCTCAGAAGAGAGCGGAGGCAGAGCCGGGAGGCCTGCGGATATCATGCAGTTGTGTTTGATGACGTGCAGAGGAGGTACGGATTCATACGTATGTATCTGAGATTTAAAAACGTAAAAGCAGAAATAGCTGAATGAGCGTGGGGGAGAGAGGCTGAGCGGCGCGGAGCCTGCGGGGTCGCGCGGAGCCCGGGGCAGTGGGCCGAGGCCTGAGCAGCGCC